TTCTAGGAGGTGAAGTAAAAAGAGTGTTCCCCTGTTTGGAGCCATGGGGACTCAGTTGAGAAAGGATTTGCCATATATGGCGATACTGTCACCTTTTTGCCCAGAGCTTTATGTTCCTGTCACTTTTGGGAGCAGTTGTTCTGAAAGGTTCATATTTCCCCACAAACAACTTTAAATATTGCTGCTTTTAATTCTCAGGTAATTTTTGGTGTTACTCAGTTCAGATTGAGGGGGAAAGCTGGCAAGTATTTGAACCAGGACCAATGGCTAATTTGGGTAATTTTGGATCTCAGACGTGGCTTTCTTTCCAATTAACTGGGGATTGTACATAAAGCTGTGCATACCCCTCAGTTTTGATGATCCTTTCTCTTTTCTTTCCTATCTTGTATTCTGTGCCCTTTTTGTCCCTTTCTCTCTGCTTATAATTCAGAGACCAGCCATTAACAATCAGCTTTTTTTTTTTTTTAAAGATTGGCACCTGAGCCAACATCTCTTGCCAATCTTTTTTTTTTTTTTTATGTTTTCTTCTTCTTCTCCCCAGACCCCCCAGTACATAGTTGTATATTCTAGTTGTAGGTCCTTCTGGTTGTGCTATGTGGGACACCGCCTCAGCGTGACCTGATGAGTGATGCTAGGTCCATGCTCAGGACCGAACCAGCGAAACCCTGGGCTGCTGAAGCTGAGCACGCAAACTTAACCGCTCGGCCACGGGGCGGCCCCAACCATCAGCTTTTTTAAAATAAGGTTGTGATTGTTACTATTAGAAATATTTATTGTGATGCTTGCAGAATTATACTAAAAACCATTGAATTATACACTTTAAATAGGTAGGCTCTGTGCTATGTGAGTACTGAGCTACATCTCAATAAAGTTGCTATAAAAAACAACAAAAAAGAAGTATTTATCGAGTCATTCAAGACTTGACCAGCAGTCTTCTATTTATTCAAATGTTTGACATATGTGAGAAAATTTTAAATCCCTGACAAAGCTCTGCGATAGGCACTGTAATTACCCCCATTTCTCAGATGAGGGAATGGAAGTAAAGTGGGGGTAAGCAAATTGCCCAGGGGCACCCAGGGAGCAAATCGAGAAGCTGAGATTTGAACCCACGTCTGTCTGAGACAAAAGCCTGTGTCCTTTATCATTCTGTCCCAATGCCTCAAAGTAAGGCCTTTGATGAAAATTAATATAAGGCTTACATTCAGGGACCAGGCCATAGGGTTATTCTTTTTTTTTTTTGTTCCCACCATCTAGCCACACTGTCTGAAGAAAGGAGCTGCTAGATTGCTTGGTCTCAGTCAAGGTCTGGGTGCATCGCTGTGAGGTGCTCACCTGCCTTGGGGACGTCTTTCTTCTCAGTAAGAAAAAAAGTATGAATCGAAACTTCCAGGGCTGCCAACCCAACACTTTGACAAAGAGTGAGTTCACTTAGTTTCCCTTTCTTAAACTAAAGACACAGTCAAAGGGTTCTAATTGAGCCTTCCTGGAGGAAGTGGTAGAAGACTGATTTTTTAAAAACTGAGAGCTCTTCTCTTTTAGGCAGATGTTGGGCAACTACTGTAGCAAGAATTAAAGCAAATTTAACCACCAGTAAATGAATCCGAGGAATAGGGGCATCCCACATGAAGAACAGCGTGTGCGAAGATCCAGGCGTGGGCAGCTAGGCCCTTAGCTGTGTGTGAAGACAGAAGCACAGTCCGGATGAACTAGAATGTTCTCCATGCGTCCTAATATGCTTACAGTGAGTTGTCGACTGGGTTTGGAGGTTTGGATGTGTGGGTAGGTGTGGTGGGACACGAGCCTGGAAAGGAAAGTTTGGGACGAGATTAGGAAAAGCCTTGTATATGCACTATACTTTGGGGAGATTAGTTTGAAGGTGACAGCCATTGGAACTTTTTTTCCCTTCAATTTTTTTATTGTGGTAAAGTACACAGGAAATAAAATATACCATCTTAACAATTTTGCATTCAATGTTATTAAATATGTTTACAACCTGCAACCATCGCCACCATCCAGCCCCATCTCTAGGCCCCGGCAACCACAGTTCTGCTTCCTGTCTCTGTGATTTTGACTACTCTAAGTATGTCAAATAAGTGATATCATACAAGGTTTATCTTTTTGTGACTGGCTTATTTCACTTGGCATAATGTCCTCAAGATTCATCTATGCTGCAGCATGTGTCAAAATTTCCTTTTTAAAGGCTGAATAACTTCTCATTGTATGTGTATACCACATTTTGCTAATCTAGTCATCCGTTGACGGATAGTTGGGTTGCTTCCACACTTAGCTGTTGTGAATAATGCTGCTATGAACGTGGGCGTACAGATATCTCTTCAAGAGTCTGCTTTCAATTCTTTTGGGCGTATACGCAGAAGTGAAATTGCTGGATCATGTTGTAATTCTATTTTTAAATTTTTGAGGAACCACCATACTGTTTTCCACAGCAGCTGGATCAGTTTACATTCCCGCCAACAGTGCACAAGGATTCCAGTTTCTCCATATCCTTATTAGTGTTGTATCTGTTTTTTTTTTTTAACAGTAGCCATCCTAATGGATGTGAGGTGTTATCTCATTGTAGTTTGATTTGAATTTACCTAATGATTAGTGATGTTGAGCATTTTTTTGTCCCCTTATTGGTCATTCAAATATCTTCTTTGGAGAAATGTCCTTTGCCCAGTTTTGAATCAGGTTGTTCAGATTTTTATTGATGAGTTTTGAGGTCTCTGGATATTGTGGATATTAGTCCTTTATCTTTATATGATTTGCAAATATTTTCTCCCATTCTGTGGATTGCATTCTTACTCTATTGATATATAGTTTTATGATGCAGAAAACTTTTAAATTTTCTCGAAATCCAATTTATTGCCTATGCTTTTGTTGTCATATCCAAGAAGTCATTGCCAAATCCAATGTCATGAAGGACTTGCCCTACATTTTCTTCTAAGAGTTTTATAATTTTGTCTTACGTTTAAGTCTCTGATCCATTTTTGAGTTAATTTTTGTATATGGTTTTAAGTAAGAGTCCAACTTCATTCTTTCATGTGAGGATATCCAGTTTTCTTAGCATCATGTGTTAAAAAAGACCATCCTTTCCCCATGGAATGAGCTTGGCACCCTTGTCAAAACTTGCTTGACCTTATAGGTGAGGGTTTATTTCTGGGCTATCTATGCTATTCCATTGATCTATATGTCTGTCTTTATGTCAATACCACACTGTTTTGATGACTTTAGCTTTGTAGTAAGTTTTGACAAGAAATGTGAGCCCTCCAGCTTTGTTCTTCTTTTTCAAGATTGTTTTGGCTATTTGAGGTCCCTTGAGATTCCATGCGAATTTTAGGATGGGTTTTGGTATTTCTGCAAAAACATTACTGGGATTTTAGTAAAGATTGCATTGAATCTATAGGTTACTTTGAGTAGTATTGAAATCTTAACAGTACTAAGTCCTCCAATCCATGAATGTGGAATGCATTTCCATTTATTTATGCCTTTTTAATTTCTTTCAGCAATGTTTTGTAATTTTCATTATACAAGTCTTTCACTTTTTGGTTAAATTAATTCCTAAGTATTTTATTCTTTTTGAGGCAATTGTAAGTGGAATTTTTTTCATAATTTGCTTTTCCGATTCTTCATTGTTTGTGTATAGAAACACAACTGATTTTTATGTGTTGACTTTGTATCTTACTACTTTGCTGAATTCATTTTGGCTCAACAGTTTTGTTGTGGAATGTTTACCTTTTTCTACATATAAGCTCATGTCATCTGCAAACAGAGATTATTTTACTTCTTTCTTTAAGTTTGGATACCTTTTATTTCTTTTTCTTGCCTAACTGCTCTGGCTAAAACTTCCAGTACTAAGTTGAATAGAGCAGGAAAAGTGAGTATCCTTGCCTTGCTCCTAATCTTAGAGGAAAGGCTGTCAGTCTTTCACCATTGCTTGTGATGTTCACTGTGGGTTTTTCATATATGGTTTTTATTGTGTTGAGGTAGTTTCCTTCTATGCCTAGTTTGTTGAATGTTTTTATCATGAAAGGTGTTGAATTTTGTTAAATGCTTCAGTTGAGATGATCATGTGGTTTTTTTCTTTATTCTGTTAATGTAGTGCATTACATTGGTCAATTTTTGTATGTTGAACCATCCTTGAATTCCAGAATTAAATCCCACTTGGTCATGGTATATAATCCTTTTAATATGCTACTGAATTCAGTTTGCTAGTAGTTTGTTGAAGATTTTTACATGAACGTTCATAAGGGATATTGATCTGTAGTTTTCTTTTTTTGTAGTATGTTTATCTAGCTTTGGTACAGGGTAATGCTAGCCTCATAGAATGAGTTAGGAAATGTTCCCTTCTCTTCAAATTTTTGGAAAAGTTTGAGAAATATTGTTATTAGTTCCTTTTTAAATGTTTGGTAGAATTCACCAGTCAAGCCATCCAGTGTAGGGCTGTTTTTTATCAGGAGATTTTTGATTACTGGTTCAATCTCCTTACTAGTTATAGGTCTATTCAGATTTTCTATTTCTTGTGATTTTGTCACAGCAGGTTTTGTGTTTCTAGGAATTTTTCCATTTCATCTAAGTTGTCCAATTCGTTGGTGTATGATTGTTCATAGTACTCTCTCACAATCCACTTTATTTCTGAAAAATTATCAGCAAAGTCATCATTTTTATCTTGAATTTTAGAAATTTGAGTATTTTTTCTTTTTGTTTAGTCCATCTAGCTAAAGGTTTCTCAATTTTGTTTATCTTTTCAAAGAACCAACTTTGGGTTTTATCGATTTTCTCTAGTGTTTTTCTACTCTCTATTTCTTTTATCTTTGCTCTATTTTTTAAAAATTTTCTATAGCTATAAATTTCCCCCTTATGTGTCCCATAAGTTTTGGTGTGTTATGTTTTTGTTTTCATTGTCTTTAAGTATTTCTAATTATCCTTGTGATTTCTCCTTTGATAGATTTTTTGTTCAAGAGAGTGTTGTTTAATTTTCACAAGTTTGAGAATTTTCCAATTTTACTTCTGTTTTTGATTTCTATCTTTATCCCTTTGTAGTTAGAGAAGATAGTTTGCATGGTATCTATCTTTTAAGTCTATTGAGACTTAATTTGTGGCCTAACAGATGGCCTATCCTGGAAAATATCCCATGTGCACCTGAGAAGAATGTGCATGCTGTTATTGTTGCACAGAATCTTCTATTTATGTCTGTTAGATCTAGTTGGTTTATTGTGTTATTCAAATTCTCTATTTCCTTACTTATTTTCTTTCTGGTTGTTCTGTCTTTATTAACAGAGTTCTCAGTTAACAGCTTTTTTTCTTCTTTACTTTACAGGTGTAGCTTTAATGTTTATTTGTTTGTGTTGTTTCTAACAATAATCAGCTGTCATCTTTCTTTGTTCCTTGTATACTATCTGTCAAATTTTTCTCTGGCTGCTTAAAAGACTTTTCTCTTTCACTGCTTTTGGGCAATTTAATTGTGATGTTCCTTGGTGTAGTTTTCTTCATTTTTCTTTAGCTTGGGGTTTGTTGAGCTTCTCAGATCTCTGAGTTTACCATTTTCATCATTTTTGAAAAATTTCAGCAAATGCTTTTTTCAGCAAATACATTTTCCTCCTCTTCTACCAGGACTCCAATTATACGCTTTTTCCACTTTCAATATTCACTCAAGTTCTGTTCATTTTTTAAATTCTCTTTTTATCTGCATTTAAATTTGAATAGTTTTTATTACTGTGTCTTCAAGTTTACTAATCTTTTTTCTGCAATGTCTAGTTGCCATTAAACCCATTCATGTATTTTTCATTTCACTTTTATTTTCCTCTCTAGAAGTTGTTTTGGTTCTTTTATGTATCTTTCACATCTCCACTTAACTTTTTGAACATATGAATCACAGTTATTTTAATGTCCGTGTCTGCTAATTCTAACATCTGTTTCAGTTCTGGGTTGGTTTCAATTAATCAATTTCTCTCCTCATTAAATTTTGGATCTTCCTGTTTCTTTGTGTGTCTGATAATTTTTTTATTGGATTCCAGATATTGTGAATTTTATCTTATTGGATGCAGGTTATCTTTATATTCCTACAAATATTCTTGAACTTTTTTCCTGGGAAACAATTTACTGGAAAATAGTTTGATTCTTTTGGGTCTTGCTTTTAAGATTTGTCAGGCAGGATCAGAACAGCCCACCATTCGGGCTAATTTTTTCCCATTAGTTTTGCAAGACCCTTTAGGCACTCTACTCAACATACCATGAGTCATGAGGTTAGCTAGTTAAACTGATTAGAATAGGCATTATTCCTGGCCAGGTTACTGTTACCTCTGTTCTTGTCAAGTGGTTCTTTTCTAGGCCTTGGGTTTTCCTTTCACATGTGTGAATTGATTGCATTCAGCTAAATACTTGAGGGTACCCTTTACACATCTCCAAAATTTTTTCTCTATGCTTCTTTTCTTGGTACTCTGTCCTGTATATTCTAGCCACCTTTGTATCCTCAACTCATAAATTCCACTGGGCTATCCCTAGGTTCCCTTCCCTGTGCCATGACCTGGAGACTCTCTCAAGGCAGTCAGTTGGGTCAAAGGAAGAGTTCACCTCATTTGTTTTCTCAGTTCCAGCAGTCACTGTTCCTCAGTGCCTGATGCGAAGTGTGTTGAAATCTTTGTTTCATATGTTTCATGTTTCCAATATTTTATCTTTTTTTTGTTGCAGGTGGGAGAAGAAATCTGCTTTCTATTATTCCATCTTGGCTGGAAGCAGAAATCACTTCCATGTCTTCAACCTCACTTTCAGATTTTCCATATCCTTATCATTCCATTTTGCATTCTGCTTATATTTTTCAAATCTATCTCCTGGTTTCTAATTCTTTTTTTCCAGCTGTGTCTAAGCTATTTAATATCTTCAATGAATTTTGAATTTAAATGGCTCTACATTTCAGATTCGGGAATCTTTTCTTATTTGTATGGTTTCTATTGCTTCTATTATTACCTTTTTTGTTACTCATTTTAAACAGATCTATTTTATTAATACTATTGAGATTTTTCTGTCATATCTACTTTGTAGAGAACCAATTCTTTCTTTTGTTGTGTCTACAAAGTCTTTCTTGTGGTTATTCTTTGTTCCATCATGTGATTTGATTTTTTAAATTCTGACAATTAGTCTACATTTTTTATTCATCTTGCTTAATTTTGTTGTTTGTGAATTGGAGAAGTTGCAGTCTACGGCGTCTGAGTTACAGATGTGACCCTAAAGAATGGTTTTCTATTTTCTTCTGCAGGATCTCCAGGTATTCCTTAGTTTTTGAACGGGGTTTTGTTTTCATGACCTGGCCAGTGTTTATCAAACCACACGTGTGGTATAAACTCTGACCCTACATCTGCCCATTGTGCAAAAGTACGTTTGATTTCTCACAGGATAGTTTTTCCTCCCTCTTATAACTGGTTTCTCCACTGGAGTCTACATATTCCCATCTGTTCTATCTTAAAATAATAAAGTTTACTTGAATATTCCGCCCTTTTGTTTTCTTTCATCCTCCACTTCCTTAAAATTATAGTTTATACTCACCCCTACCCATTTCTCAACAATCAAAACTGTACTCAAATAGCTTTTTAAAGAAATTCTCAGAAGGCCCATAGAATGGTCTAGTATAGTCTCCATTCCCTTTCTCTCCGCGACATTTGATGGTGCTTACCCTTTCCTTCTTCTAACGCTCTCCTTGCTCCTGCTAACAGAACACATTCTCCTAGTGTAGTGAGGGGAAATGCCATTTAAACAAAAACTCTGCACTAAACCTTCTAATGAATGAGACATAATATATATCTGTAAGGAACTAAAGGTTGATACTATTCCTGTCCTGTTATGGATATTGGTGGGAAAAAGCAGAAAGGAAATTTCAAAGCTTTTGCCAATTCTTCCATATTGCTAAAGGGTAATTTAGTAGATGACACTTTGTTTAGCAGAGTATATTTATGAGTCTTTAAATATGTAAATACAGGCTCAAAGCCAAGGAAGAGGTGAGGAACAAAATTGTTCTGAATAATAGAATGAAGGGAATTACATTTAAGCAAGGAAGGAGAAAGGAAGGGAAACTCAAGAATCAAAGCGACATGGAGAGGCTGGCAGGCTCTTGAAGGAGACAGGGGGCAAGCCAAGATAACTCAACACTGGGCATTATGCAAATGGTCACCAGCGAGAATCTTCCTGTCAAATACTAGCTTGTCTCAGGAGCTTGTGTGGGTCTGGGAACATGCCGGGGCCAGCCACAGATCCAGTTTCTGGGAGCTAAGGAAGATCCACATTCAAGTGAAGGCTTCAGGTGGCAAACTTACTCAGCTGGAAATCCTTCAGAAACCAACGAGGGCTCTTTTTTTGCAGACTCACATTGTCCACACTGCTTCAATCAAATTCCTTAAACAAAGCAACAGCAAGAAAGAAACTTTATTCTAGAAATGATCACAAAGAGTGCTACCCTAAACCTCAACAGAAGGTGTTATCTAGACCAGCACAATGCAATCGAACTTTCTGCAATCGTGAGAATGTTCCCTCTCTGCATTTCATAATATGGTAGCTTTTTTTTTTTTTAAAGATTTTATTTTTTTTTCCTTTTTCTCCCCAAAGCCCCCAGTACATAGTTGTATATTCTTCGTTGTGGGTCCTTCTAGTCTTGGCATGTGGGACGCTGCCTCAGCGTGGTTTGATGAGCAGTGCCATGTCCATGCCCAGGATTCGAACCAACGAAACACTGGGCCGCCTGCAGCAGAGCGCACGAACTTAACCACTCGGCCACGGGGCCAGCCCCATAATATGGTAGCTTTTTGCCGCATGTAGCCACTGATCACTTGAAATATGGCTAATGTGACTGAGCAACTGAATTTTTAATTTTTCTTAATTTAAATTTAAATAACACAAATAGCTAACAGCTATGCAAACTTTTTCTGTAAAGGATTTTGTGGGCCACATATGGTCTCTGTTGCATATTCTTTGTTTTTCTATTTGTTTTGTTTTCATGGTCCTTTAAAAATAGAAAACATTTTTAGCTGGAGGGCTGAACAAAAACAGGCCACAGGGCCGACTGGGCTTGTGGGCCATGGTGTGCTAACCCTGACACTCGATGCTATTGAAATGTTTATGTTTTTAATATTAGTAAAGTTATTATTACTATCACTCCAGTCTTAGAAGTGTAAGCGGTCTTTCTTATTGTTCTAATAGAGCTTTTTCCAAACCGTGTTCCATGGTACACTCATCCATTTTATTTTATTTTTTTTGAGGAAGATTAGCCCTGAACTAACATCTGTTGCCAATCCTCCTCTTTTTGCTGAGGAAGACTGGCCCTGAGCTAACATGCATGCCCATCTTCCTCCACTTTATATGCGGGACGCCTGCCACAGCATGGCTTGACAAGTGGTGCCATGTCCGCACACGGGAATCCGAGCCAGCGAACCCTGGGCCGCCGAAGCGGAATTTGTGCACTTAACCGCTGCACCACTGGGCCGACCCCTACACTCATCCATTTTAGGTGCTCTCCACAAAGAAACAGCTCTGTGTTTGAACAGGTTGGGAAACACTGCATACTAAAACCCTATTTTTTTTTTTTAAAGATTTTATTTTTTTTTCCTTTTTCTCCCCAAAGCCCCCCAGTACATAGTTGTATATTCTTCGTTGTGGGTCCTTCTAGTTGTAGCATGTGGAACGCTGCCTCAGCGTGGTTTGATGAGCAGTGCCATGTCCGTGCCCAGGATTCGAACCAATGAAACACTGGGCCGCCTGCAGCGGAGCGCACAGACTTAACCACTCGGCCACGGGGCCAGCCCCCTAAAACCCTATTTTTGAAGACTTATTATGTAGGTTAGTATATTAAAAGCTCCGATGAGCTGACACAAAATATTGGATTTACATAGATTTAGTTTTTCTATATTTGACCATTGTGCATGAGGCCTGCTGTGTATAACGTGTGTGCAAGGAGGAGTGTGTGTATGTACTGCATAGAGCGTGTATAGCCGCATGGTGTGTAAGTATGTGTAGTGTGTGTGTGTAGGTGAGTGCACACAGGGGGTGTGTGTAGCATGTGACACCTATTAATATTCTACAGATAAGTGCTCCACAGAACCACTCTGAGAAACGCTTGCTGAACAAGCCTGACAATAAAAATCTTTCTCTCAGGGCCTCAGAGCGGAGGCACAGGTGGTAATTAAGTGATATTCAGAACGAGTGGGAGGATTTATTCCTGTTGCCCTGGTTCAGAGAAGCTGTCATTAAGACTTTTCAAGAAGGGGTGGTGAGGTCAGCGCACCCTGGGATGTTCACCGAGTCAAGCAATGAGTGGAAGAGACTGCCCTGGGAAGCAAGCCCCACCATCAGCTGGTTAGCTCTGGTCCCTGTAACGTGGCAGAACAGAGCAGGCTATGGGAGCCGGAGGGATATGCTTGTGGAGGTGGCTCTAAGGGGACTTCAGGGACCCTTGGAAGACCAATTAAAAATCACAATACCTCTGAGAGGAAAGGGAAGTTCTTGGCCCACTTTAAGAGAGGAAATGGGGAATGACTGGCCTGAATTCAGTGGAGACTAAAGAGCAGATTTTGAAGATAGCGCTCGGGAACTCTAACTGTTTAATAAGGAGGAAATACCACCCTGAGGACAGGAGAATTGAGCGGTCCCATTGCTCTGCTCAGCTTTGGAGAAGCAAGCTTGGCACAGAAACGGCTGTCAACCCAAGGGCCTTCGAGGAGCACTTTTAGCTTCTCTGAGAGAATAAAATTCCTGGATCCTGTTTGGACGTTGTTTGCTTTTATTTTCCAAGAGTCTGGAGAGAGAGGGTGAAAGTGGAGTTGCTCTTAGAAAATGCTTGGGTTTGTCTCCTGGTGAGGAGAGGCACCAACGTCCTGGGCAAAGCTCCTCCTTCCGTTAGAATCTCCGAGAAGCCGAGTAGCCGCTTTCTGAGAATGTGACTTCATACGGTTCCCTCCTGCTAAAGCCATTCTCACGTCTGCTTCTTACCTAGGCAGACTGGTATTTTAGATCTTTCCTGCCAGATGTTTATAGCAGCATTCTGTCTCTACAATAGCTCGGTTATTAAATTTATTTCTGCTCTTGATGACTTTTAATAATATTCAAGGCAGATGGAGGGTGAGTGAACAATTTTCCTTTCTTGGTCCAGCGCAGACGGTGGATAGGTAAATCTATGCGTGCCTCTGCTCTGTTGCTGCTCGCCACTCCTGCTGGGGCTGCCCATGCCTAGGAGCAGGCCAGCTCTGTGCCCAAGACAGCCCGGTAGCTGAGGGCGTGGGCCGCGCACTGGGCCCCTGGTTGGGTTGGGTCCCGTGGGGTGGGGTCTAGTGAAGGAGCTGGGTGGGTGACACTAGTCTGCTCCCATAGACTGCTGACCAACCTTTCCCTGGAGGATTTAGATTTTGAGAAGAATCTAATGAAGCTAGAAATGTCTTCTATATATATAAATTTCATCACATTTGTGGTGGTGAAATTTCGTGTTCAGTTTCCTCAAACACTCATCAAAGGCCCCCATGGATGCGGTCACCTGAGTCACTCTTAGTAAAGGCCAGAATAAAAGAGAATGCTGGAGGCAAAATGTCAAGGTCAAATTGTGTCTCTTAGCTGGAAGCAGCAATGACAAATGAGTGGCCTCTCATTAGTCAGAGCCCATAACTGGGTACAGCTAGCCCAGCATGAGCACTGAGCTTGGCCAGAGAACACAGGATGGCGTGGTGCTGGCTGCAGCAGAGTTCCCACTTCGACACCAAGACAATCTTCTTGCTGTTGCTGAGTTTTATGACCGTGATGTCATTGAATGCTGCCGACAACAGATCTGTTATATGGCAAATGAAAGGGCTTTAAAACTAACTGAGGGACCCCATTATGCCAAGACTGGAGCTTGTCATAAAAATCATCGGTCATTGATGTCTCTGAGCTTCTGAGTTGGGCCTTGAGGGAAAAGAACTGTGAAATTTGGGTTCAATTCAGTTGTTTTGATCTGGACTTCTTTATGAGTAGAAAGAATTCAATTGGCCATATGTGACCTTGAATTTCAAAGAAATCAAATCATGCAAACAAGATAATTTAGCCTCTTGCCCAACAATTCCTCCTTTTCTCTTCAACGCCAGGGTAATGGATTGAGGCCTTGCCTGACGACATTTTACTAGAGTTTTGAGAATTGTAATAGTTGCATTGTTTCTCTGGTTATACCCCCAAAGTGCCTTGTGGATTTCCTCAACTGAAATTGCTCCCTGCTGCTATTATTGTTGGAATGAAGGACGGGTTTTAGCACTGAAACAATGCCACCAGAGGGAACAGCAGTGCGGCAAGCCAACCAGTGACAAGGGCCTTAGCCCCTTCTTCCTGCTCCATCGATCCACCCTTTCATCTGATGAATATTCATTGAGCACAACCACGTGCCAGGCAATTGCACCAGGTACCGGAAATATGGTAGAACCTTAGAGAGAAGTGTCATTCCTGCCCTCAAGGAGCTTTGAATTGGTGGTAGGAAATGTGCTTTTCTTTTGTTTCCTTACCTCCAAATTAAATCATTTTATTTCCGTAACACCCAACCATTTGGTGGCAGAAAATATTATCCTGCAGAATGACGGGTAAATAATAGACACTGGCCTGGAATAAAAACAAATGCTCAATGGAATGCTACACAGTAGTTTAAATAAATACACAGACATGCAAAATGATGCTTTCTGTATGATATGCATAGGGCTATTCTGAACACCCAGTCATAGGTAATGCTGTCCTCTGTGTTTGCGGAGAGTGAGCTCAGAGACCAGGAATGGATACAGGCAATTTCAGTAAATCGCAATATTTATTTTTTAGCTGGGTACTGGGTATACAGGTGTTTGTACTATATCACACATATATATATAGTATACATATACATATTATGTATACACATATTATACATATACAATATATGCATATTATGTATATGAATATACCCATATTTACAATACTTATACACTCATACGTATATACTGTACATGTAATGTAATATATTTAAAATACAGCACAATTAAAAAGCTATGGCTTGGGGCCGGCCCAGTGGCGCAGTGGTTAGGTGTGCATGTTCCGCATTGGCAGCCTGGGGTTCACAGGTTCGGATCCTGGGTGCGGACAAGGCACCGCTCATCAAGCCACGCTGTGGCAGGCGTCCCACATGTACAGTAGAGGAAGATGGGCACGGATGTTAGCTCAGGGCCAGTCTTCCGCAGCAAAAAGAGGACGATTGGCAGCAGATGTTAGCTCAGGGCTGATCTTCCTCAAAAGAAAGCTATGGCTTAATAGTCATGCTTCAGAAAACCAGGTCTGGGCACTGAGAACTGGTGGGACTCACGTGTATTTGCTCTTCACCACATTCTCACCCCCAGATACAATTTTCTGAGCATGCCTTTCCATTTCTTCAACATTTCAATGTTCTATATTAGTCCCTGCTCTTTTTCTTTCTCAGCTCTACATCTCTCTATATAACTCTTAGTTCAAAATCACCCTGGCAAGTGAGAGAAGCCCCAGGGAAAGCAGCAATGGATAAAATCAGCCCCTCTTTGCTCACTTACTCACATTTAAGGAAGGATGATGAAGAGTCTGAGAGCATCCTGAAGCAGTACCCAGTTCAAAGAGTTAATACTTACTAGCTCTTAGTACATTTGATTATTATTAGCTATTAGTACAGTTTGCAGATTGCTGAGAATGGCATAGAAGCTGAGCTACAGTGGAAAATTAACACTCTATGAGGGCCAGAGTGAACTTTATGGAACTCTCTGGGATTTCTCAACTGGAATATCGCCATGAAATTTTACATTGGATTACCCTGGGGGGGAGTTAAGTTGTTTTAATTACTGCTGCCATTCTGTGTTTTATTCCTTTTAATTAGTTTTAATCTTTGTACTTTCCTCTGAGTCAGTTCCACCAGAGACACAATTTTGAAAGTAATAATGATAAAAACACATCAACTTTTCTAGTAAATGTTGATGATATGCTCATCACAGCAGTGGAGAAATCCAACAGGACAGACCATGATATTCTTTTGGTCAGTTTTATGACTGCGTGATGTCAGGAAGTCTTAGCTATCCAAGAAAAACATTGCATTTGTCCAGACTTTACACCTATATTGACTTTTAAGGATTTTCACATAGTCAGTGTATCAATGAGCAATTCACTCTAGAACATCATGCATCCAAATTGGTATTTCAATTCAATTCAATTCACTTTCAATTCATTCAATCCAATGATCTGAAATGCTAGAGTAAGTTGTGCTAAGTGGCTAGAAGGTATTAGTTGGCTGGTAGAGAATGGAGGGCAGAGGAGTGAGAGCATGGAAATGGAGAACAAAAAAGAATTTCATAAATGGAATTCATTTGGAGGGCTGGGGCTCACAGTAGAGAGATAGTCACCCAAGTGTAGGCATGGCTTAGAAAACTTTCAGAAGTGTACTTTGCCACCGGCAACCACATGAGTTAGCCCTCCCATATTCATAGCCTGGGCAATATCTGCCCCCAGGATGCTGAGGCAACAGTATACTCTTTGTATCTGGTCTGACATGGTTTACTTATAGTGACAATGGGAGATAATATTTGAAGTCCAGACTATTTCAGAAATCTAGTCACCATAATTACGCTTTGAACAGATCAATTATCTTAATTTGAAAGAAAAAATATGGTATTAGGAGAAAATCTTTCATATTCAACACTTGAAAAATCAGTAAGAGGTGTTCATAAATGCTATTATTTGACTTTGACAGTGAATGCGACATGTGGCAGTTACCAGGGCCTCATATTGGGGGATGGATCAGCAGACAATAATGAGAGCAAATGCTCATATATGGTACTCACCGTGTCCCAGCACTTTACAGTGACTCTGGATGTGGGTACTGCAATTGTTCCTATTTAACGGATGAGGGAAAGTGAGTAACTTACCTAAGATCACACAGTTAGTAAGAGGCATATTTGGTATTTAAACCCAGGCAATTAGACTCCACAGTCCATTTTCTTCCAGCTATTATACTACAGTTTCTCTTACCTTAAGCTTTCCTTTTGCTGTTTCTCCTCTCCTCTCCTCCTTTCCTCTGTGGCCCTAATACTCCTTTTCTGTAAAATAAAGGGGAATGGTGCGTAGTCGATAAGGTTGTTGATTGTTCTAGCATTATATGTTTATACACAAAATATTGTACTGCATGGATTTAGTATTCTTTGAACCATTCAATTTAAAAAGAGGTAATTCAAATGTCTCCTACTTTTCAAAATAATGTAACTAAAGATTAGTATATAATGCTTAATAGTTATGTTACCCTCCTGTGTTTTTTTCCCCTTGATTAGTAAAATAAAAAGAGAGAGAAGAGAAGAATTCTCATCCATGAACTAGAATTGATTTGGAAATCTGAGTATAAATTTTGTTTGACAAAAGTGGATTTCTCCTTGCGAGATGATGGAATATGTGCTTTTTAGAAGAGTTAAGTACCACTGCTGCCCAGGAGAAAAAAACATAAATATATTCAGAAGATCTGTATAACCAGGTAACTTTTAAGAGCTCTTTTAAATCTCAGGTTCTATGAATCCAGGCAAAGGAACTTAGCGTAGGAACAGCAGCATTAGCTACACTTGTCCAGCAATACTCCAAAAATAGACTCATGCTAAATAAACCTGCTTACCTATGTCCTGAAGGACGACAGGAGAGACTATCATCTTCATCTATTACCTGGAATTCAAGTTCGTTTCAACAAACATTCGTAAATGCCTGCTACCGGAAGAAAGTGGGTTATGCATTATGGTTACCAGGAAAATGAGGCCAGATCCTTGCCACAGAAGAGCTCAAGGTCAGGGCAGAGCCAGATCCCTGCGGTCCCCCCGGGGAACAGACAGTGAGGCTACAGAGCCTGCTGAGCTGTCCACCCAGCAATTAGAGGGGCATGAGAAGCCTGCACGTTGACAACCACAAGGAAGTCATCACCATGAGTCATCTGCAAACACATCCAACTTTATGTCAGCTCCTTGCTTCAGCAGGTGGATCATTTCTGTTTTCCCTGGAAGCCATCTGCTGGTCTAAATGTTGGGGTTGATTTGTTTTTCTGTTGCAGAGGAGAAGGTGGCTTTCCCAGAAGTAACTAGAACACGCCTGGACTTTGGCAGAGGTCCAGGAACGAGCAGAAGGATAGAGACCTTTTGAAATTCTCTCTTTCCTACTGTGTGCAAACTTTCTTGACCAGCTAAAACTCGACTCAACTTTCAAATATTCCAACCCTGAGAGAAACATGCAGCTCCTGGTGGGGTCACCATACGGGCACCTTTGTTGGCCGTTGGATCTGTTGGTCTTTAGAGGCTAGCAGTTAAAACTCAGGGCATAGCTAAGAAAGGTGGATTCATGACTTGTGTCATCTTTTCTGCACACCATTAATCCCTCTCACATGTAATGTTTAATTGGAAAACATTTCAACAATTATTGAAAGGGAAGAGTAGAAACTCATGACTATTTTTGCATACATCTTAGTCTGGGAAAGAGAGATTATTTTTGGTGTGGCAAATTAAAGGAAACAAAAGCCTGAAAATGTGAATCTAATGGTGGGTTAGCATGAGGGCAGGTGTCCTTTATCTCCTTGAACAAAAGTGCTCCAACTCTATGTTGAAATGGAATTTCTCATGAATGTATGCACTTTCCCTTAGAATTGGAGTCATATTTTCCTGGCAAGTTCTGTAGAATCTGGGTGTAATGAAATAATAATTAATATTACAGTGGGGTTTAAAATCATAGATATAGAGGAAAACTAGTTTTCTAGTTAATGATCCAAATGATTAGACTAGCAAAGGTACTATATTATTTTCACAGATGGCAAAATAAACATAAAAAGGAAAAAGGAATCATCTTGGCAGAGTGATCACCTATTTCGGCTTGCATCTTACTCCTAGGGTGCAGTCTCAGCGCTTGGCAGATTCAGACTTTCATGATGTGGCAACTGTTTTCACTGAGGCAAGAGGACAAAACAGCTGGTTGTGAATCCCGCCTAACAAAATTCTGCCTGCTGGAGCCACGCTAATAATAATGTAGTTCCACTAATAATAATTAGCTCCACTAAATAAGCCCAACTCTGCTTCCTTTAGGTCATGCTTAAGATATTTGTAAACAGCCACGTTATCTGTCCTAAACTCTTTCTTCTCTAGGCCAAACTTCCTTAAAAGTTCAAGCAGCTCGGCCCATACTGGAACGTCCTCTTCAGTTCGGTCTTCACATTGGCTCCCTCATTTGACATCATCCAACGCAGAGCTGCCAGCAAAACCCAAGTTCACAGTGTCTTTGGGATTTGTGTGAGCAGCAGTGTCTGGAGCAAGAGAGTAAGAAAGGGGGTGAGATGAACACCCCACAAAGTGGTTGCGGAAGAGTCTGCGGTCCAATCTCTTGGGGGTGCTGTATTTGCTTTTTCTCTGGCCAACAGCAGGAGGGGTCACAATGGCTCTTGGCCAGCCTTGATTATAACTGGCCTTTTCTGCCTTTCACCTCAATGAAAGCTGTTCCCAGATTGCAAACCTCTGAGTCTTGCTTGTTTTCAGATAAAGGCCCACTTTCAAACATTTGCCCAGGTCTTGGCACGGTTCTGTAGAGCTGACTTTTCATCATTGATCCTTCCTTTCCCTTACATATTGGTTTGTTAAGCCACAAACAGTAGACATGTATGGAAAAGGGACCATCAACTACAAGCTTGTCCAACACATTGGAGTAAATCTCTGATCTGTCGGTGAAGTTGGGCGGTGAGCACTGACCCGGGGTATGAGATGGGCCTTTGCTTCCCAGGATCTCGTCCATGCTTTTTAACCCTTAATGGGACCAGCCTTTAAATAAACACGTGGTGAAGCTCCATCAACTGTGCTAAATGTGAGCTCATAAATATCTAACTGGGCTGGACTCTCTGTGGCTCTGGGTGTGAACGCTTCTATTACTCACCATATACAGCTGCTGCAATTCAGCAAAATGTCTCTCTTTTCCAGCACTGGGAAAGCCATAACTCGTGTCCAAAAGTCTCATGTGGCCAGATAAACTGCTATTCGGAGAGATCCAAGCCGCAAAGCCCTCCACTGATGCCCTCCAATAGGCATTTGAATGAGTGTAGTCACGTGTCAGGCTGATTGTAAATCTGAGTCTCTTCTCATTGTTTTGTTTTATGAAAAAGGAAACCAAAAACTTCCTGTATCAGTATGGACAGGATTGATAAACAGAAAATGGGGAGCTTTAGCATAAAAATGTGAAAGCAATGCTCTTAAAAGTTACTCAGATACATAATAACATTATTCAAATATAGGTTGCAAGTCCCAGGAACATTCTAGAATTGATTTAATCTCACCCTTTGGTTTTGGGGAAAGCACAAAAGTCAGAGGTAATGTATACCAGGGCAGTGGTTTTGAAGAACTACCAAAGTACCTTGGCTTTATATAGGAAGAGCATGAGGACAAAGAGATCTATGTCTCCCAGCCAGTGAGAGTTCAGTTAGGGAAGTGGAAAGCGGCCTGGTCTGCAGAGACATCTACGTCAGCACTTCTGCTCTCCCCATGGCAAACATGAGGGAGTTCTGGGCTCTGTCCCAGTTTTGCTGCCTCTAACTTGCTTTTTCATTTTGTGCTCGTTCTGTAGTCCCTCTGGACCTCATAATTGTTCATACACCTTTATAATGAGGGTATTGTGCCAGAAACACTGCAAAGGAACTTCTCAAATTTGAAGCTTTATTCTCCATGGCTCTTGGGTCCAGTCCAATGACATGAGAAAAGAAGGTGGTTATAGACAGGTTTCTTTTCTTTTCTTTTTTTCCCCCAGAGACCCTTCTGGTTGTAGATTCAGGAGAGAGAGCCTAGGAAACACTTAATGGATCTTCTCAGCCTTCTGAAACGCTTCTGTTCAGTCTTCTGAAGTACTGGGGCATGTTTTCCTGGGCCTGCTTCCTCTCAGAAAGGGACACCAAAGCAAACTAGATGCCGTGATGGAGAACCACGCCACTGGTGTATGTTGGGGAACATTCTTTACCGGCTCTTCCATAGGCAGGTCCGCATGCCTTGCTCGACCAGCATGGGCCTCCTCTTGCTGTGTGCCCCATATTCCCCCCTTCCCTTGTGCCCCACCAACGCTAATCTTCCTTCTTCTCCTTGAGGAAAGCTCCTTCCCGTCTGAAAATCTCCAGCCCATGGGGCTACATCTGCCAGGAATGCTCCTTCTTGCTCCTCTTCACCCAGGAAAGTCCTACTCACCTTCAAGCTTTGACTAAATGCCACTTCTTTAGGGAATCTTTCCACAGCCCTCCATGCTGATTGCAGTCCTGGCTTAGGGACTCGATGGCATTCTCTTTATTTCCTTCATGGTGCTGATTAGAAATAAAATGATATAGCTTTGTGCATGTGTATATATGTGTGTGTGACTTACTTAGAGTCTGTTTACCCCCTAGACTAGTCCATGATGGAAGGGCTATGTCTATTTTGTTCAACACAGTACCCTAGCCCATAGCAAAATGTCTACCACAGAGAAGGTGTTTAATCAATATTAATTACACGGATTTTTTTTATTGTGCATCAAACTTGTAGACCAGTCCTGTCCAATGGAAATGTAATGTAAGCTGCAAATGTGAGTCACAGATGTAATTAAAAATGCCACTACATTAAATAAGGTAAAAATAAATGGGTGAGAGATCCTGGTTCTGAGTGAGATGGAATAAATACACTCTACTCCTTTTCTCCCACTGATTACAATTATAAAACCTGGACAGAATGCACGTGACAGCTATCTAAGGGCACTGAAAAGGAAATAGCAGCAGAAAGTTTGGGAAAGAGCCCAAATTTGAAATACCATTCATCTGGCAGTGAGCTTACCATTTTTTCTTCCAGTCTCCCTTGGCCCATACTCAACACATCTCAGACCCTGGAAGGGGACTTCAGGGCACAGATAGAGAGAACTCTAAGAGGAGACCTCTAGCTCTCGCTCAGGGAACTGGCATGTGAACCCCCATTGCACAGAGTAGGGGAAATCTCTCATTTTACTTCTTCTCTTTATTTTCTCTATTCTTTCCTGATCCAGTCCCCAGGTAATCCTGTGACAGCAGGGCAGTAGCTGGTAACAGGGACAGAAAAGAGCCAAAACTCTGAGGGGGGTATAATTTCCAATTATCATGAGTGTTTCTTCTGCATTTTGTCTTGAACATGTGTGTTTATGTGTGTATCAAGCAAATATCTTTATTTTTTTCTCTCTCTTATCCCCTCATCGTATAACATAAGACGTATTGAATTTACATCATAGTATTTAAGTATTGTTAACTACATCACGGCATTTAAGTTACAGGATATCAAGAGGAATGACCATCATCCAAGAATTTTGCATCCTGTTCTGGAGGAAAAGTTAGTGTGTATTCAGTTTTACACAGGATAGTTGTATCATCTTAGGTGAGAATATGATTTTTTGATTTTATTTGGTGATTAAGTATGGTTTAAGGAGGTGTTTACGAGTGCCAAGTTGGCAAGGGTTGGACTTGTGGTGGTTAATTTTTTGTGTCAACTTGGCTATGCCACATCATCCAGATATTTTGTCAAACACAAGTCATGTCACTGTGAAGGTATTTTTTAGATGAGATTAATATTTAAATCAGTAGACTGTGTAGAACAGATTACCATCCATAATGTGGGTAGGCCAATCAGTTGAAGGTCCTAAAAGAAAAGACTGAGGTCCCCCAGGAAGGGGGAATTTTCCTTCCCCATGGAATAGTGCCTTCAGATTTGAGCTGTAACATCAGCTCTTCCCTGGATCTCTAGGCTGCTGGCCTGCCCTGCAGATTTCAGAGTTGCCACCCACCTCAATCGTGTCAGCCAATTTTTTAAAATAAAATG